TGGAGTTGCCATGAAAACGTCGTGCGGCGGATAAGAGCCCAACAAAACGGTTACCATTTCCGGAGACCTGATCCAAATCTTCCTATCCTGACCCCTTCTTCTGGCATCCCGCTTTTCCGATGCAAGGGACGGAGTCGGAGGATAGCCAGACGAGGTAGGATCTCATGCGAGTTGATAAGATAGACAACAGATGGGTTACAACAAATCCAATGCTTCCAACGTTCTGTGTTGGATCTTTCTCAACACGAGTGTTGAATGTATCACTCAGCTGCCTCGCATCCGTCTTCCTTGATTTTGCTTCCTGCAAAGCTATTACATAGTAGTTAATGCATCTTGCAGCTTCGAGAAGGAATTGAAAATCGACGTTGGTGGAAACTATCCTGCTGTTGTAGGGCATGAGACAATCTCTATGGTGAGCCATTGACGTGTCCTTTTTGTCCGAAATTAATGGTGTCCTGTGCAACCTGACACTGGTTTGATGAAATCCGACGCCGGAGTATAATTCAATGTGCAGAGCTTCTTTTCCTATCACTTGCTGTACAAGCAATAGATAAATCCTCAGAATTAACAGCCTTGCCAAGGCCTGCAGTTCTTTCACCAAAGGCAGCCGCTGAGCTATATGAACAGGGAACCATCTACCAACTTAATCAGCCAGACGTTGAGGCTTCTGGCATGGCCTATTCTTAGCTGGACATCAAGGGAGCCGGCAACACCGAACTTCTTTTCAGCTAGAGGATAAGCCTCCGCTGTACCTCGCAGTTCGACACCAGAGTCACCCACGCGCCACGATGAGGGGTAGACCTCACCGGGAAGCATTTTGGATAGTCGCCAAAATCTCAAGCGTGGACAAAAGAGATGGATGCATTGCCTAACAAAATTAGCATTATTTCCGGTTGGTAAAGAGCTTATTGTCTTATTGCACGGTGATTATTTTACATAGGTGAGTTTAGTCTTTTCTCCTTTTTGATAGGCATCTTAATGAGTAGTGTCATTAGTTGTCAAAACGACGAGACCTCCAAAACTTTGATCAGCGAGTCTTTCCCTAGCAATTTTAACTAAGGCTCTAGGAGCTTGTCAACGTCGCTCCTTTACGGTCCTCAAAGTTTAAGTGAATTATTGAGAATGTGCGTTTGACTTTCCTGCCCAAATGAGCACTATATCTTGAAGCAGTTACGGACACGATGATATATCGGCTTTTACAAACTCCGTTTTGATATTTTCCTTTAAAAGATCTCCAGCTTCTCCTTGAGAGTGGAGCCGAGCCCTGCTTCAGTCTTCTAATATATAGAGCGCGTATAGTCGCCCTCTACCTATTCATGCAAGTACTTTTTGAAAAGAGTATTACTCTTGCCATAATAATAATCGATCGCTTCCATAAATAGAAAGGAAAATAAACAATTATTAGTTGCTTTTAAGGCGAAACTGATATCTGCTAAATCAGCAGTGATAAGTTGCTAAAAACTATGTTTGCTCTTGCTCAAATGAGGATGAGGAGGCAAAAAATGGCGAAATCTCACTCTGCAGTTCGGTCTGATCAACGAGTTCTTTTTTTCGTAGATGCAGCGTTGGTGCCCGAAAGAGATGGTTGACCGACAGGGCCTCAGGACAACAGAAGGTGCGCGGTAGAACCTCCAACCGAATTCGGCAAATTTTTGGCGAG